CTGAATAGAGCACATAACTTAATCCTTTATTTGTTGACTTCATATTTTACATACTTTTCTGAAAATTTTGACTGATATTTGATTGAATACTGTAAAATTTGACTGAGATCATTTACAAAGTTTTCAATGTTCAATAAGTATATTGTATTCGGTATTTCTGGTCACTTTTTACTCATCCGGTAAGTGAGTGTTGCATATTGAGACGTAGTTTGCATTTAAAAAATTTCATTTCAAGTGTCTGAAGTTAACCTAAAATGTCTGTAATGAACATCTCAGTGCGGCGTAGCACTACGCTTCAGAAGCTCCAGATACAATATACTTGTCGATCAGTAAAAAATCTCAGGTAACCCCATAATTAGCTTTAATTTTCTTTGAATCTTTACATCATAACTTATTTAACACTTTTTCTATTTCACTGTTATCATTCTTTTCTCTAATGGTTAAGATATGGCGCACTATCTGCTCGACCAGTACTTAGTGTATTTTGATATACCCTGCAAACAGTTGAACAAACCAAACACTGTTAAGTATTTCTCATATTCATTTAGTTTATTGTGAATTGACTATCATAATATTTTGTTTCAGTTGTATTGTGAATGTTGCCTTAACTACCACTTTGGCTATTTATAAGTTCATTTCTGGTTTATATGAGCTGTCTTGTATTCATTAAATTTTCTTAACATTAAGCGCGACAACTGTAGGTTAATTGATTATTATTATTATTCTAGTTATATTTCCCTTAGCAGTATAGAATTATCAGTAGCCATTAGAACACTCTTATTTATCTGTTAGTCGTTAATTGGAATACATATCGATCATTGAAATTTGAGGTACCCATACTTCACTTTCATTTAGTTAAGTAACAACACATTGACTTGACATTATTTTAAATCTATTCTTTGTTTGATTAGAACAGAAACTTTACATTTTTAAAAAAAGGTCGATTGTAACTTAATCATAAATAGTAGAATTCATAAGTCGATTAAAGCTAGACCACCTTGGAAAACCTGGAAGCACTGGACGTCTATTTCATCATGAATTCAACTATTAAATTACTACAATCTCCACACACAAAAAACCCTTTCTACTAAACCATAATAACAATCTTTAATAAATATAGAAAATTTTCTTTTTATGAGTTTAATTAGACAAATAATGCCACTTTATTTTTTTCTGGCATAACTTACAAAGTGTAGCTAGTTTAATAAATGCCTCAATGTATTTCTATAGAGAAATTAAGGTCAATTAGGCTTTTGATGTTGCACCGCTCTTGAAAGAAATAATTCATTCTAACTATTTATTCATCAATTTTACTGAGTATGTCTAGTCTATCTATTTTCACAGACAAGATTTTGAAAAAGGAAAAAAGCGTTAACTGGTCGTCTAACTCATATGATCAGATTATTTTGAATGTTTGTCGGTGACCTACTTTCAAAATAAACAACCATGAAACAAATTACTCAAAAATAAATTTGGAAAGAATGCTAACTGAAATTAAGAAACCGTGAATAATTTCTATGGACTTTCATCCATTGAGGTGTCTAGAACATTTTGAGCGCACATAATCGCCGCCTAGTCCATCGACTATTAGTAGCATTCTATTTCATGTTGTTGATGTTAAGTGCGTTGATTTACGCTGATATTATATATCATGTCTTACATTGTTTGTGAGTGAGTGATATTAATGTTTACCATTTAAATATATAATCGGTAGGGAATAAAACAACTTTCTATTTCTCTATAGTTTGAGAACAGTTTGTTTCCATTCGCGTAAGCCACTATCGAATTTCTGAAAATCCTTACTTACTTACTTACTTACGCCTGTTACTCCTAATGGAGCATAGGCCGTCGACCAGCATTCTCCAACCCACTCTGTCCTGGGCCTTCTTTTCTAGTTCCGTCCAATTTTTGTTCATTTTTCTCATGTTTATTTCCATTTCCCGGCGTAATGTGTTCTTTGGTCTTCCTCTTTTCCTTTGGCCTTGAGGATTCCATGTGAGGGCTTGTATTTTGACGCAGACGGGTGCTTTCCTCAATGTGTGTCCTATCCACTTCCAGCGCTTCTTCCTGATTTCTTCCTCCACTGGGATCTGGTTTGTTCTCTCCCACAACAGGTTGTTGCTGATAGTGTCTGGCCAACGGATCCGAAGTATTTTACGTAGACAACTGTTAATAAACACTTGTATCTTCTGGATGATGGCTTTCGTAGTTCTCCAGGTTTCCACCCCATACAGTAGAACTGTTTTGACATTTGTATTGGACATTCTGACCTTGGTGTTGGTTGACAGTTGTTTTGAGTTCCAGATATTCTTCAGTTGTAAATACGCTGTTCTTGCTTTGCTGATCCGTGCATTCACATCTGCATCGGATCCACCGTGTTCATCAATGATGTTGCCCAAATATGTAAAGGTTTTTACATCTTCCAAATCTTCTCCGTCAAGTGTGATTGGATTGGTGCATGCTGTGTTGTATCGGAGAATCTTGCTTTTCCCTTTGTGTATATTGAGACCTATTGCTGCTGAGGCTGCTACTACACTGGTCGTCTTATACTGCATTTGTTGTTGCGATTGCGATAGGAGGGCCAGATCATCTGCGAAGTATAGATCGTCCAAGTGCATCTTAGATGTTTATTATATCCCGTGTTTCCCTTCAGATGTTGACGTCTTCATGATCCAGTCGATCACCAAGAGAAAGAGAAAGGGTGAGAGTAAGCAACCTTGCCCGACACCGGTCTTTACCTCGAACGAGTTTGTCAATTGTCCTCCATGCACAATTTTGCAGTTTAATCCATCATAGGAATTCTGTATGATATTGACTATCTTCTGAGGCACGCCGTAGTGTCGAAGAAGCTTCCATAGTGTTGTCCTATCCACGCTGTCAAATGCTGTTTCGTAGTCAATCAATTTGATGTAGAGTGATGAATTCTATCCAATTGATTGTTCCGCAATGGTCCGTAGAGTTGCGATTTAGTCTGTACACGATCTATCCTTACGGAATCCTGCCTGTTGGTCACGAAGTTGGGCGTCTACGCAGTCCTTCATCCTGTTTAACAATACCCTGTTGAAGACTTTTCCCGGTATCGAGAGAAGAGTGATGCCCCTGTAGTTATCACACTTGCTGAGATCGCCTTTCTTCGGTATTTTGATCAGGAGTCCTTCTTTCCAGTCTGTTGGTACTTTTTCCTCATCCCTGGAGTCCCTCCGGGGGCTACTGCCGGTCCCAAGCCCGGATAAAGGAGGAGGGTTGGGCATGGGGTTAGCATCCCTATGCCGTAGAAAACTAACTCGCTAAAAAACGCTAACCAGAAAAAATTACTCAAATTATTCTGAAAATCCTAGAAACTGAAAATTCATTTCTTTCGTTATCTCAGTTTCTTCTTTCAGTTATATAGTTTTCTTATCTATTTAACATTATTATTTGACCTTGAATAATCGTAATTTTGTTCCGTTCCACAGGAAACACTGAGGGAATGTAATTTAACCGATGACGTCCCGGATTTATTGATGTAATCTCTTGATACCAAACGACACCTCATTTGTACCTATTTCCTAGTTTTACTGTGTGATAAGATCCTGATAGGTATTTGAAACCATTCACACTGTGCTTTACTTTACAGAATACGATCGAAGATGTGTCCTGTTAAACAACTGTCAAATGATCAATGTACATGATTCTTTTTGTTGATTTTAACTTCTCTGTAAGATTCTTTTATTTCTTTTTTCAAGTAATTTTCCGTGTTGGAAATATATGAAATAGAAACCAAACAAATTATTATATCATATTATGTTAGCTGGAATATCTACATCCTTCAGAATAGATCATGTGGATTTCCACGTTTCTGGAAACACCTAGTTATGATGGACTGGCTGTTGAATGCATCATAGTATTTAAGAAGAATGAAAAAAACCCAAACACTAAATTGATGCAGGGCATATCATAATTAAACAACGAACTGCCTTTCCTCAATGATGGATTGGGGTTACCCTGTTCAGGAAGTAGTCTGGTTGGTCAGAAATTTATTGTTACTTTTCCATCATAATTTATTCGTTCCCTATATCCATTATGGTAGACTTTCCATATTATCGGTGAATTCTATTTTTGACACATCTTTTAGTGGTTGCACACTGCTGAGGAGTCCCATACTAGAAGGAAACGGCCGTCTAGTGCTTACAGGTTTTCAATGGTGGTCTAACATTGATCCATTTATGATCTCAATCAAAACTCAACAGTCTCTATAACCCTATACTGATAACATATTTTAGTCACAGAACTTATCCGATTCCTCTCACTGATGATTGCATTGTCATATCGTAAGTGCAATTCAAATTAATGGAAAGGAATAGAGTTTGGTGTACACACAAGTAAGTGACTGTTTATGGTAAGTCCAGAATCACATGATATATGATTCACTATATTGTTTCAAAAATTTCCAAAACGTAACGGCAATTGATGATTTGAAACTATTCCTAACCAATCTTCAGGTATTTTTATTTGGCTCAAGATTACTGTTATTTATTTTATTAAACCGTTAACACTGGGTTTTTTTAAGTCAGCAAATGTCTGCTTTATTTTTTATACGGAACTTTTTGAATTTGAAAATGAGCAAAAATAGAGTTTATTATCATATGAAAACTAAGTGTTGTGTCAGCTAGAGCTAGTTATGGTCAACTAAAAAATAAGAAAAATCATGCCTAAGACACCAAAAGTACCAAGTGGACATTTGTGATTGACCTACACTCTGACTCAGTTAGTAAAGGTCAACAGAACTGCACCGGTTCCGCATGAACCACATGACCTTACTCGGGGTAGAAAAATTCACGGACGGCCAAACTGGGCTGAAAAAATCAATAAAATTTATTTCGCACTTCAGTGAGCAAGACAGACAGAAACCTAATTGGTCACTACCACTAAAAATTATGATTGTTTAACCAAATATGGATATATGAAATTTACAAACGCGATTGGCTTTGACTATTGAGAACGGATTGGTTTTCAAATAATAGACATAGATCTGACCATATAAGGTAATGATTGGATTTATATAACAGTAAAACTATCTACTACGGTATCTATTCTCATTCATTCATTCATTCATTCACTCTACAAAGATGGGGGATGAGGACGTTGCTGCCCTTGTTATTGATAATGGATCTGGTATGTGCAAAGCTGGCTTCGCCGGAGATGACGCTCCTAGAGCCGTGTTCCCCTCCATTGTTGGAAGACCTAGACATCAAGGAGTGATGGTGGGAATGGGTCAGAAAGACAGTTATGTAGGAGATGAGGCTCAATCGAAACGTGGTATCCTGACTCTAAAGTACCCGATTGAACATGGTATTGTGACTAACTGGGATGATATGGAGAAGATATGGCACCACACATTCTACAACGAGTTGCGAGTGGCTCCAGAAGAACACCCAGTGTTGTTGACAGAAGCCCCATTGAACCCGAAAGCGAATCGTGAGAAGATGACACAGATCATGTTTGAGACTTTTAATGTCCCAGCTATGTATGTTGCTATTCAGGCGGTGTTGTCACTGTATGCATCTGGTCGTACAACTGGTATCGTGTTGGACTCAGGTGATGGTGTGACCCACACGGTTCCAATTTACGAAGGTTATGCATTGCCCCATGCCATTTTGCGTCTGGATCTTGCTGGTAGAGATCTTACTGACTATATGATGAAGATCCTGACTGAGAGAGGTTACAGTTTTACTACTACTGCAGAACGTGAAATTGTCCGAGATATAAAGGAGAAGCTTTGTTATGTTGCTTTGGATTTTGAGCAGGAGATGGGTACTGCAGCATCGAGTTCTGCTTTGGAGAAGAGTTACGAACTTCCAGATGGTCAAGTTATCACTATTGGTAATGAGCGATTCAGATGTCCAGAAGCTGTTTTCCAACCTAGCTTCTTGGGAATGGAAGCATCAGGAATTCATGAGACCACTTACAACTCCATCATGAAGTGTGATGTAGATATCCGTAAAGATCTCTATTCCAACACAGTATTGTCAGGTGGAAGTACAATGTATCCTGGTATTGCTGACCGTATGCAAAAGGAGATTAGCGCTCTAGCCCCCAGCACTATGAAGATTAAGATAGTTGCACCACCTGAGAGGAAGTACTCTGTATGGATTGGTGGTTCTATTTTGGCCTCATTATCAACATTCCAACAGATGTGGATTTCCAAACAGGAATATGATGAATCTGGTCCAAGTATTGTTCACCGTAAATGTTTTTAATCTGACTTCACTAGTCTGTACAAATGGTATAAGTGATATCACAGAATAAAGATTTTTCGTGACTCATGGCTTGTTTTGTTCTTGATGCTATCTAAATGTGTTTTGGATGCTATGGTGTTTACAGTTAGCTCTATCATAGGTCTATGAGACATCACAAGTCGTGATGTCTGGTGGGTTGGCTCGTTTACATCCTCACCAACGAACAAGCAATGTTTGAGTATATAATTGGTTGGCTCTTTGTAAACATTTAGTTTCTGGCAGTTTTGTGATATTCGTTCGCTTTGTGATGCTAGCCAGTGTATTCAGTAATAGGTAGTTACATGTCCCTGCTCACCAGGGGCCCTACTCATGTCGGATTACCAAGGTAGGCGTATATACACTTGGTGCCTACTTGGGCCAGTGCTTATGTGCGTAAATAAAATAGATCTGGGTCGGACTTCCGCACCGCTGGCATTCCTGACCTGTTCTCTTAACTGCTTTAAGTCTTGGCTGATGGGATAATGATCCATACTTGCACCATAGTTCGGCACTTCGATTATGATTGTGTTCGGGGTGCCTGTCAGGTGGTCCATGGAGTGGTTGAGCTCGTTTCGCCGAAATCAGTTTTTGACAGTTCAACTTCGTGAGACTTTATGGATGAGTTCTTAGCGACACTATAATAACTCTGACAATCTCTTCGTACTTAATGGGGTTATAAATTAGTGTGAGGTGTCAGGATCAGAATTTCCAGTTGAACGTTAAGTTTAAGAATTAACTCTAGTGTTTTCATCACCAATTTACATAAGCTATAACACGGAATGTTATTTGCAAATATTGATTCATGAGTTTCGCTCCTAAGTCGAAGGTCTGAAATCTGGGTGGTTCGTCGTCGAACAAACATGCACCAGGTAACCGATGCATTGCGGATTTTTCTAAGGACATGTAGTGTAGGGTTTTGTAGGTAGTGAAGAGCAGATTTGCGAGTAACTATAGGTCGTTTAGGAGTATTTATTAGTCACCCATATTTGTTGTTCTGTGACTTCCGAATTGGTGACATATCGAACCAATCCAAAAGTTTCGATCCTGCTGGTATGTACGTGTTATGTCAAAACGAGATAGATAGTAACGCTCCTATTCCTTATTCAAATGAATGGAAACGTTGAAGTAATATCTTCAGTGATCCATTGGTACGAACTTTTCCTAATCAGATTTTACTAACGGTGGTATTTGACTTACAATACTTACTTTTGTGTCTGTTTAGTACGACTTGTCTCTAGTTAGCACTCTCTAAGTTCATAATTACATTTGATAGTCTGTTTGCCGAAACTCATTTCTAAGTGGTTATGCAGTCTCAGGTGTAATTTGTGGAAAAATAATTAAGGTCCGTCAATTTTTTCGAGAGCATACAATTAACACTAATTTTTACTCAATGACAATTGTTAATACTGACTCAACAAACCACGTACAAACACCCTAATTCTACATGAGATAGGTAGTAATGTCTGGCTATGGCGAAAGTCCAGATTACGAATGGTGCATTACTTCTTCCAAGACTAGAAGTACACTTTGCTAACGTGTACTGACTTATAGGAAACCTAGCCTCCTATAACCTCTGACTCCAGCCGCCTAATTTCAAACAGTGTAGATAAGTTTATAGGAGCGTCAATATCTTTCATTAGCTACCTGTTCTCACCATACATCCAATGTAAATAATTCGAGAATAATCAGTGGGTTAGGGAATTCGATTAACTACATTGAGTCCTTTTTTTATGAGGTATATATGGCTTCAAAAACTAATATTAAGCTTTGTAATTAATTACATTCAGCGTGATAGTGTCCATCAAATCGGTTTCTCAGTATCTCTTTGTAGCATGTGTGAAGATATTTATGGGGCTCACACAGTGTAATAAAAGTATATATATAATGTTTCTGTTAAATTAGATTTGGCAGATATTTTTCTGGACACGGTCTCACTAAGATTTATTCACATTATATAGAAAAACAAGAATATTGCTAAAGAAAGTTTTTCTCTAAATAACTCTACAAATATAATTAGGTTGGTAGTGTATTTGTTGATAAATAAGGTTTTATGATTTAATGAACGAACGTTTAGGAATTACTATATTTATGAATAAAATAATCTAATCTACTGACATTATGCAACAATACGATTTATCCAACTGATAACTGCTTGCGAGACCGAATTTTACTGAAGTAACCACCAACTGAATAGATATTGAAAGACAAAATAGCTTCTCAGCAAAAGAGGTTTTTCCTATGTCATAAAATAACACGATTATATATATGTATATATAATATTGACACAAAATAAACTGTTAAACATCGTAAACGGTTAGGCAGTATCTATCTTGACAGTCTCGCTGTGCCTAAGGCAACTTTTATACTTCAGTGAGTAGTTTGTAGAAAAACATGTTTAGTTTATTTTGATGGAGTTTTGTTCTATGAGCTGGATAGTTTGGTCGTGGAGCTTTCATCGTTCTTCTGAACGATATCATCAACACAAACTTCAGATAGAAGTGAAGTGTTCCAAATTCTCCACATGTGGTTCACAACCTATCCTGTAGATCTCGATGTTGATTGGTTCTTGTTGACGTTAAACCAGTCATTGTTTACTTCTTTGTTTTGGTTGTATCTCACATTGGTTTGATTTGTGTTCCTATATTTGTGCATAATTTTCGTGATTGGTTGATAAATTGGATCAATTTCTCCACTATCTCAAAATGTTTAATTTATCTTTCATGCCATATACAGTTGATATTAACAATAGATTTAACGAACTATCCTTCCAATTATTATTATTATTATTATTATTATTACTATTATTATATCTAAATTGATTGTAGAACTTAAATAGTTTGTCAAGTGATTAGTTTATATTTTTCACTTAACTAATGGTTTGTTTATACATTGCAACACAGATTTCTGATAAATCGTTTATCAATTACGTAAATATAATCAAATATAATTAACAATTAACTTTATTGAATAGAAATAACGCCAGTATCGTTAATGATTCAGTGTACTATTAAAGTACTTTTTGTAAATTCATGATTAAAACAAAATTGTTAATGATTATTATTACTATTTTTATAATCAGTTCATATTGATCAATTATCAATAAATAAACACCAGTTAACATTTTGAAGTAAAAATAAAATTTATTAAAAGTCCTAGAAAACATTTTTTTAAAATTATCAACAATATAAACAGCTGACTACAATTGAATATTGTAGCGTAGTACTATGATGTGTGCTACTAATGTCATTAGATATAAGTAGTATATATTATCGATCAAAAGTGAAGTGTTTAACTGTAGAACGTTAAGAAGATCGAAGGAAAGAGGACGAGAACAGAGAATGATTGATGTGGAAACGAAGGAATAACAAAATCTGAAACGATTAACTAATATTTTGCAAATGAAGTATTCTCTGTATAGTTCACGGATTTTACTAAGAGATTTTGTAATTTTGTATTCAAACACATGCGGTTATCCCCACTTGTGTTCTCGTTCACTACTGTAGTACATTTATTGTGCTTGTTGATATTAACAGAAAAACTTAATCAGTTAGATTGTGGAAAGTAATTATAAATCCTTAATGGACTTTTTATGAGAGCTGATTAATATTGCCAATTAGTCAATAGAAAGCAAGAAATCCTGTCGATTGTATTTCCAGTGTAGCTTGCTAACTTAGTACTTAATTGACCGGTAGTTTGTATGTGATATTGAGTTTTAATCATTAGAATGTACATCTTTGTGACATAATTAATTTTCTGGTGAAATGTGTTTTGAATTGCTTCTTCATGTTAGGCATTCTTTAAATAAGGAACACTGTGAAAAAAGTCACAAATAAATACTGACATCTTTATCATTAATAGATCACCTGTTTAAGAAAAAAGGAATAACAGTGGAATAGGTTACATAAATAAACATAATAAGTAAAAAGTTCAAATTGATAGTGTGATGACAGGTGTACTAGTTGTGATGATATTAACAATGCCTTGAATCCATATTTCATGTTGGTAAATAGGTCAACAGCTTGGAAAATTGTAGACACTGAAATAACATTTTTTCAAATACACGTTTCACTATCCATTTATCTTCTTATTGCATAATCTGATCATTTTCAAAGGTTATTTCAGTGTCTACGATTTTCCAAGCTGTTGACCTATTTACCAACATGAAACATGGATTCAAAGCATCGGTAATATCATAACAACTAGTACACCTGTCATCACACTACCAATTTGTACTTTTTACTTATTATGTTTATTTATGTAACCTATTCCATTGTTATCACTGACTAATAAACTGCCTTGATTGGTTAAATACTTTGATTTATGCGTGTATAAAGGAATATGCATAAATGACTAATGTTGGGTAATATTCTTTCTTGTAAGTTATAACTGATCAAGGCTTTTCTTTCAGCTAGTTCGACTTTTTTTACGTTGATTATTTGTCAAGCTTTGATTAACAATAAAATTAATAATAAAAGTAATAATGATAGCTACCACTACTACTAATCCTAGCCATTACCCTATGCAGTGGTGGGGCTTGGCTGTCTTGATAACCATATCGAGCAATGTTGGTTCAAACAATTGTTCCTTTAGGTTATACCATGCTATACGAGTCTGTTGAGGAACGGTAAGACTAATAAAGTAGCAAACTCATGGTCGGTGGTTAAATTCGTACTGAAGTGTTACGGCAGTAAGGTGTTTTATTCAGACAATCAGTATCTACAGAAATGTTACCTTCTCACAAAAAAAGCAAGGAGTCGGAAAAACTTACTCCTGATAATGTCACATCTCACCTAAGTTCACGGATTTCCATCTCTCGAAGTAAATCCTTCCTAAGCACAGAGCTAATACATTACAAACTTCTCACGGAAAAGTCGCGTGTGACCTCCCCCAATCTTAAGGTTTGTAGGCACATCTTACAGTGTTCCAGCTCAACGAATAGAGAAAATAGACATCTAGGTCAGTACGACCACTAGCAAAGTAGTTTCTATTTTAGGTCTCTCAGGAAGGAAAACCCTCCTACAATATTATCGAATGGAAATGAAATATATCCT